GCATTAATCAGTGGTTAAATCAATTTGAAACTCATTCATATTTCAGGTAATTCTATAAACTTATTCCATTAATTGAAGAATAATTAACTATACTTTGACTCACAAAGTCTGGACAAGATTATAGTGATGTTAATAACATATGCAATTAACTTACCTTTCCACGTCCTGCTGAATTAGCCACTGTCTTGCCTCTGTAGGTCACAGGTCTTTAAAAATGTCATTCTGATCATCTACTGTTAGTGTTCAGCCTCTACTTCTTTCACTGCTCACTAGTTTTAGCATAAAAGCCCAAACCTGATTCTAAGGAGAATTGCACCCTCCTCTCATTTCAACTCTTTCCTAAGGCTGGTTCCCTACCATCCAGTTAGAGTGAACATTTTTCATATAACTAAACACTCATGCCTTGGTACTGGCACAAAAACAGACATGAAGACCAGTGGAACAGAGTAGAGGGCCCGGATATGAATCCACAGAGCTATACCCACCTCAGTTTTGACAAGGGTGTCAAAAACATATGATGGAGAAAAGACAGCCTGTTCAACAAATGTTGCAGGAAAAGTGGTTATCTACCTGCAAAAAACTGAAACTAGATCTGTGCTTGTCACCCTATACTAGTATCAACTCAAAGTGGATTAGGGACCTTAATATCGGACCCAGAACCTAGCAGTTTGTACATGAAAGAGCAGGGAATACCCTGGAAGCAACAGGTATAGGCAAGGACTGTACCCCAGCAGAACTCCAGTAGCCCAGCAACTAAGAAAGGATAGACAAGTGGGAATACATGAAATTTAAAAACTTCTGCACAACAAAAGAAATTGTCTCTAAAGTGTAGAGACCACCTACAGAGTGGAAGAAAATATTTGCTAGCTATACATCAGACAAAGGACTGATAACCAGAATATAAAGAGAGCTCAAAACACTAAACTCCCCCAAAATTAGTGAACCAATAAAGAAGTAGGCAACAGAACTTTTTCAAAGGAAGAAGTCCAAATGGGCAAAAAACACATGAAAAATGCTCACCAACCCTGATCATACAAGAAATGCAAATCAAAACCACACTGAGATTCTACCTCAGTCCTTTTAGAATAACCATCATCAAGAACACCACCAATAACAAATGTTGATAAGGATGAGGGGAAAAAGGAACCCTCATACACAGCTGGTGGAGAATGTAAGCTAGTACAGCCACTTTGGAAAATAATATGGAGGCTACTTAAAAATCTAAACGTAGATCTAATCCAGCAATCCCACTCTTGGGGATATACCCAAAGGAATGCAGCACAGGTTACTCCAGAGGCACCTGCACACCCACGGTTTTTGCAGTGCTATTCACAATAGCTAAGTTATGGAAACAACCAAGATGCCCCACTCCCGACGAATGGATTAAGAAAATGTGGTATTTATACACAATGGAATTTTATCCAGCCACAAGAGGAGTGAAATTTTGTCATTCGCCAGTAAGTGGATTGAACTGGAGAACTTCATATTAAGCGAAGTTAGCCAGGCTCAGAAGGCCAAAAATCCTCCTATGAGGATTATAGACCTAAGCAGTAATATTATTGGACATGGGTCACACACGTACACGGAAGGAATAGAGAAAGGAAAGAAAACCTAAAACTTGAATGTGTTTGATCTGCCCACTGTAGAGGAGTGAATAAAGTAACCTTAAACTAACAGAGGCCACTATGGGAAGGTGACAGGAAGTAGTGAAGAGGTCTGGGAGAGATGAACCAATGTGGGTTGCAATTCACATGTGCATGGAAGCAATGCTAGGAATCTCTCTGCATAGCTATCCTTATCTCAAACTTGCAAAAACACTATGTCTTTCTTATTCTCTCTTATATTTTCTCTTCAACAAAATCGGAGAACAAGAGGGTGGAACAGGCTCTGCCTGGGAGGATTGGGGAATGGGAAGGGATTGGGGAAGTGGTCCAAGCAATGTATACACACTTTTCTCTGAAATTTTCCTCTATGCACTTGGTTTGTTTCACTCTTGTGGTCAGATCCCAGGTGAAAGGAGATCCCTTGGGGATCCTGTCTCTACTTCCTTTTCCCATTCCCTCTCCCCATCTCAATAGCTAACTTTGGCATATGTGTGTAGTTATAAAATCCTGGAGTCTTACTACAAAACATTTTTGTCCAACTCTACATAATAAACTACACTGGTTTTCTACCTTCCTACAATAAGGATGAGCATAAAGATGATCTGTTCCTTGTTGCTTTAACCATAGTCATCCTTACTCTTTCTGTCTAATGATGTTTGTCTCTTTTTCAAAGTCATAACCTAACTCAGGTTTTTACATTTTCTTTTCCTTCCTACTGGACCATTTCTAACCAGATCTTTATGCCAAGCTTTTTCCTTTTGTCATCTTTTGAGTCTCATCGAGGAACTAGAGAAAAGGTTAGATCAAAAAGAATTAACCTAGAAGGTAACACCCACGCACAGGAAATCAATGTGAGTCAATGTCCTGTATAGCTATCCTTATCTCAACCAGCAAAAACCCTTGTTCCTTCCTCTATTATTGCTTATACTCTTTCTACAACAAAATTAGAAATAAGGGAAAAATAGTTTCTGCTGGGTATTGAGGGGGTTGGGGGGAGAGGGAGGGGGTGGAGTGGGTGGTAAGGGAGGGGGTGGGGGCAGGGGGGAGAAATGAACCAAGCCTTGTATGCACATATGAATAATAAAAGAAAAGAAAAAAAAAAGAAATTATATCTACTTAAAGTAACTTCCTCTTAGGCTGCCACATGCCATACATTTTCTCTGTCTCTTCAACATGAAATGTATTTCTGTGTGTGCACACCTGACAGCAGGTTGTCATGTTGTACCCCTGCTTTATACAATGTAGCCTGTCGTAGGCTTATTATCTATAAACACTTATTCATTACAGAAACCATAAATCACAATTGCATATTACAGCTGGGCTCTAGTGGCTCAAGGGGAGGTTTGCCATTCAAGATCAGCCCAGGCAAAAAGTTTGAGAGACCCCATCTCAAACAATCAGTAGGCACAGTGGTACATGCCTGTCATCCAGGTTATACGACATTGGGAGAATTGTAGTTCTAAACCAATCTGAGCAAAAAAGTTAGCAAGACCTCATTTCAATGGAAAAAGCTGTGTGTGGTGGTGTGCTTCTCTTATCCCATAGGGATGTGAAAAATAGGAGGATCGTGGGCCAGGCTGGGTCTGGGCAAAAAGTGTGGTCCTATCTCCAAAATAACCAGAACAAAAAGAGCAGAAGGTATTGCTCAAGGAGTAGAGGGTGAGCTGCTGAGTTGAAAACCCAGTACCACTAAAAACAATTTAAAAAGCATTATTATGAAGTTTAGTCTGTGATTCTAAGCCTTATTTTTTCAGTGAATTGTGTCAGTGTTCCATTCAAAATTATTTATAAATTGTGTATTATAAGTATTAATTTTTGCATGGATTTTCATGCTAAGATATTGTGGAACCCAGCCCATGAAAAATGTTTTCTATTACTATGGAATTTCTACTCTGTAAATAAGGTTATGAACCTTCATTTTAATCCCACATTCACAGAGAATATAAAGTGCACATTTCGTAAGTTTATTTCCCTCTACTCTACTTATTAACTACTTAAAAATACTTTGCCTCTTAGACTTTGGCTCTTTTTAAAATAATTTTTCAGAGGACATAGATTGGAAAATTGGGATATATAAATATGTATCCTAAATATCATTAATGAATTTATTTAAATTTTGGGGGGTGGGTGTTTCTGTTTGTTTTGTTTTTGGTGGGACTAGAGTTTGAACTCAGGGCTTTATGCTTACAGAGCAGGTGCTCTACCACTTGAGCCACACCTTCATTTCATTTCACTCTGGTTGTTTTGGAAATGGAGTCTTGTGAACTATTTGCCTTGGCTGCACTCAAACTGCTATCCTTTGGATCTCAGCCTCATAAGTAGCTAGGATTACAAGCGTGAGCCACTGTTGCCCATGGGAATTTAGTTTTTAATGGACAGAAGCTCAGGAAAGTAATGCACTGTGGATGAAATCACCAGGCAGATTGCTAACCCAGATAAATATCAGGAATGCACCAGAGGAAATGCTGTGCCTTTACCCCTATTCCAGGTTTCTCTACAGTGGCACTATAATATTTAGGGTTGGAGAACTCATTGTTTTCAGGGACCTGTTCTGAGTATTTTAGAATGTTCGCAGCATCCTTGGTTTCTACCCACCAGACACCAGCATCACCATTCACTGCAACTGTATAACTCTTCCCAAATATCCCTTGGGGAGAGGGGATAAAACCATTCCTAGGTCTATACAGATAGGAGGTGCTGTTTGCTAGAATTCTGGAATTATCTTTGTCTCAGGGTGGTTTGGTCTTTGAAAAACTGACTCAAAACTTTTATTTTGGGTCTTCTACGCCATGCTAACTTCCTTGCATGAAGGCTTGTCAGAATGTCTATGCTAGTGACTCCGGGTCACACTTGCTATTCTGTCACATTCTCAGCATTGGCAGCAGCATTTTCCTTTCCATCTGAGTTTTGAAAGGAAAGGTCATGGGCTGCCACTGTTCATAGCCCTCCACCCTCAAAATCAAAGTGGATATAAAACCACAGATACTGCACTGAAACTACTCTCAGAGATAAAACCATTCATTAAATGTCACAGACACAGGGTTTCTAAGTTAAGTCAGCTGGTGGATAGCTGGGCAATACAAAATGGTTGATGATTCCATTTGTTCTGTGCACTTTACTAATTATTTTTTTTATTTTATTTAAGGTCCCAGAGAACATACTCACTACCCAGGGCACCAGGTCAGCTACTCCAGGCCCCAAATTGGCTACCCTGGGCCCCAGGTTGAGTACTCTAGGCCCCAGGTTGGCTATCTCAGGCCCCAAACAGGCCATCCAGGGCCCCAAGGTGTTTGTCCAGTTTCCCAGGCTGGATACAAAGTCCCACCAGGTGCTGGCTCTGCCACTTTTCCTGTCCAAAATCAGTCAAGTTATAATCAGCCAGGTGGAACTTCAGTGATGCCAGCACCACCACCTCCACTGAACTGCCCACCTGGATTGAAGTACTTAAGTCAGGTAATTTCAAATGCATAAAGTACTCGTAAAAGATAAAACAGTCCTTGCAATGTTCTTAACTAGAATACTTAATGAATGATTAACCAAAGCCTGAAATGGATATGCACCAGTTTTTGCTAACAGCAAAATAAATGTATGAGTTGTGCTTTCTGTGACCTTGAATTTAACCTATGGTAATATCCACTATCTAATATTTACTAATCACTATTTCCAGTTGTTGTCCTGAGCATTTTACATGTACTGTCTCACTTAATTCTTAAGAAAAACTTACCACGTAGAGGAGCGACAGTTACAACTAGTTCTCCGAAGAGGAAATTGAGATCCAGAGATCTCAATTTTACATACCCAGTTCAGAGTAAAAAAAATCTCAGGAAGTGGGTCTGACTGCCTTTTTAATGTGGGTTTTGATACTAAACCCAAGACGTTATCATCTCAGCACTAATTACTGTCTTTGGAATTTGAAACAAACTTTATTTATTTGTTTATTTATTTGGTGATTCTGGGGCTTGAACTGAGGGCCTACACCTTGAGCCACTCCACCAGCCCTTTTTTTTTGTGATGGGTTTTTCCGAGAAAGGGTCTCATGAACTATTTGCCCAGGCTGGTTTCCAACTGTGATCTTCCTGATCTCTGCCTCCTGAATAGCTAGGATCACAGGCGTGAGCCACTGGTGCCCAGCATGAAACAAACTTTCAATCAAATGTATTATTACTTTCAAAAAGTACCAAACAATGGGTTTGTGTATAACATTACTCACCATTTTGTAATCAATAAGACAACACACTTATGCCACCTTTGCTCTTTAGAGAATCCAATTTTATGCAGCCAATAAGTAAAGAAAGAAAATATAGGCAAGGATTTTGTTGTGCTACTTGATCGTGAATTTCAGCAATATGAGATTTAACATTTAGCTGGTGTGAGATATCATATAGGTAAAATAGGAATTGGAAGTATACAATCTATAAACTTGCAAATGGTCTTGAGATAGCCAACCAGATTTTTAGTAAATTGGATGTCTTCTCACACACTGTACTTAGTTTTCCGCAGTGTACTCAAACAGCACATACTACAGGAATTTTTGTTAATATTATATTCTTTAAGAAATGCTCTCCCACATACAGGAGATATAGGAATGGGTAGAAAACCCAAAACATGAAAGCGTTTGATGCCCCCACTCCAGAGGAACTAATACAGAAACCTTAAAGCAACAGAGGTTATCATGAGCAGATCAGAGGTGAATCAACTTGGGTCGTAACACATGTGTACATGAAAGCAATGCTAGGAATCTCTCTGTATAGCTATCCTCAACTCAACTAACAAAAAAGCTTTGTCTTTCTTATTATGCATATGTCTTTCAACAAAATCAGTGATAAGGACAGAAGGGGACCTGCCTGAAACTGAGGGGGGGAGGGGGAAGGGTGGAGAAATGACCCAAACAATGTATGCACATGTGAATAAATGAAAAAAAAAAAAAAAAAACCAAGGGCAATGCTCTCCAATACACAGGACCTCAAAAAATAAGGAGTGGAACTTACGGAAAATGATAATATCTTGTAGAAAAGTGCTTTTTAAATGGATTAAAAAGTTATCCACTGTATCCTGAGCCTCTTCTAGAAAGGATGGACCATCAATTCGTAATGTTTATGGTATTTGACCTATATTTTCTCACATTAGCAATTGATTTCCACAAGTTTTATGTCATTTAACAATATCAGCTATGGTTTTACACTAAAGAAAGTTACTAAATATTGATGACGTTATTCATCTATAAGTGATTACATTTCTTTAATTTTCTTTATGCAACCACAGATAGATCAGATACTCGCTCATCAGCAAGTTGAGCTCCTGGAAGGTACGTGTTCTTTGTAATGGTCCTATTTCTACACTGGCAAAAGGTGTACATAGATACAGGGACATCAGCAATCTCAGCTGTAGCACTCTCGTGTGGGGTAGCTCAACCAGGTTATTTAAAATGACTCTTTTCATATTATTGAATTTGTCAGCATGAGCAGCAATTCTGTTCTGAAAATTAGGAAGCAGATCACCAAATGTGTAGTGGATCTCATGGTACGTTCTGCCCTCTCTACTTTTCACTTTAAGTTATTCTGTCACTTTGCCTGACTTCTAAAACTACTGTTTTCTCCCAATTTTTGAGCACCTGGAGAATGGCCCAGAACCACATGCCATAATAAGCTACCTCTGTACATTTCCAAAAGGAGCGATCTTTTTGAGTTTGGGTGGGGACATTTAGGAAAATGATCGACTGTCATCACATTTTCTCCTAGAAGGTCAGATGAGCCCTATAAAATCTGAGTCCCATGCGCCATGGGTTACCACCTGGGGTGCAGGGCACTGCCATGTTGGAGGAGGCTAACCAGCAGCTCTGGCGGCTGCTTCCTTACAGGAGCACTCACTCCTGCTCCTCTGAGTGGGTCTGCTGCCTCCAGAGGCCTCCTTGGGTCCAGGGCTCTCCAGGCGCAAGAACAAACTTAGGAAGACACTAGATTCTTCAGTACAGCTGCCCAGGGAGTGAGACTCTGGGCGGATGTATGAACCAGCATGTCTTCTTTCTAGATATAAGGCTGTAAGAAAAGTCTGCTGATCTATTAAGTGCATCCTCACCTGTATGCAGAGTTCCCAACCATATAAGGAGATTAATGAATTTTATTAATTTATATAATTATCACCTATTATATCTAAATTATTAGATTTTTTAATGTTCTTAATTTTTTTTTTCAGTTTTCCAAAATTAGCATTTCTATGAATGAGAGCTGTCTATTGATTGGAAATTTATTTTCTGGATTTTCTGAATTTTTGAAAATATTTATTTCAATGTTGTATGTTATTTAAGTTATAAAATCAAAATAGCCTGATATCATATAACACATCATCTATCTCTTTTTTAGATTTATAAGCTTTAAAATACTTATTACATATATCTTATTTATGATATACAAATTTCCATGATTACTGGTATTTAATTTTTAAGTTTTTTTAAAGAAAGAAATGCCCTTAGTTTCTTGTTCCTTTGTCCCCATATTGAAAGCCCACATTATTTTTCATGTTATGAGCAGGGTAAAGAAGATGAAGATCTTTTACTGTGTCTTATTGTAAAAACTGAAAAAAATAAAAAGGCGCAAACATGGAATTCTTTTGCTTTGTTTTTCATTTCTATGTACCCCCACCCCCCCCCCCCCCCCACCCCCCCCCCCCCCCCCCCCCCCCCCCCCCCCCCCCCGCCCCCCCCCCCCCCCCCCCCCCCCCCCCCCCCCCCCCCCCCTCGCCCCCCCCACCCCCCCCCCCCCCCCCCCCCCCCCCCCCCCCCCCCCCCCCCCCCCCCCCCCCCCCCCCCCCCCCCCCCCCCCCCCCCCCCCCCCCCCCCCCCCCCCCCCCCCACCCCCCCCCCCCCCCACCCCCCCCCCCCCCCCCCCAGAAAGGGAAACTTAGGTCATGATAACCATGCGTTTGAACAAATAAGCTGACTGTTTCTGAGATTAAGGTACTAATAAAATATAAGTTGGACAATAAATGTATTATCCAAAGCAGGTCATTTTTTTTCTTGTCTCCAAACCATTGACTGTGTGGCAAGTGTTGAGGTCAGTGATGACCCTTAGAGATGCAGAGCTCCCACTGAAGACACTTGTGGCAGTGAAGGGTGACAGGATTTGTGAGGGACAAGTCTCTCTAAAAGTCCTTCCACACAGAGAGTGATTTTGGATTCCATGTATTTTTTTTAAGCACTTATTTTGATCAGTCTGCTCACTCATTGTGATCCCAATTACCTTTGGTCTATGAACAAGTGTAACATTGATGACTCTTCTTCCTGGTTTTACAAAAGTAGAGGATCCAATGTGGAGGCCAATATGAGCAGATCTTTGGTAAGATGCCATTGGGTGTCAGCACTTAGCACCTCTCTGTGTCGCCCCATGAAGAGGTCAGCCCTTTAAGAGGCAGAGGTCACTCAGGGTGACCAGGGTCTGGATGCTGTGAGTTGAAACCCTAGATGCCCAGTGCCTTTCTCACTCACGTCCTTTGTCCAGTATCCATGTCCCACTTCTAGACAACTACTGCTGAGCTGAACAAGGCTGCGCAGGGTCCAGTGTGATGCTCCAGCTGACTTTCCATTTTGACTCTTCTTTTTCACACCTTTGCGTTGAGAGAAGCCCCCCTCATTGCCTTTGCTCAAACACAGTGCAAAAAATAAGACAAAAATAGGGTTTATAAAACAAAGCCTCAAATCAGTGGGTTCAATGTAGAGATTCACAGTAAACAAACATGGCAGACATTCCATAACCCCTCTATAACACATGACAGCTGTACCTGATGACCGTACATTTTATCCAGACATCTAGTCCCACTGTGCCACCTGAAGCATTCCATGCTGTGTGGCAAAGTCTCCTTTGTGACAGAGTTCATGGAGTCAGGAGACAGTGTCTGTCTTCTTAAGTATGTTTCACAAAGGAACTCGGTTTCTTCTTAATTGAACAGCCTCTCCTCCCCCTTTGTCTTGCCTTTTATCTCAGTCTGTGTCACCTCCAACACCTTTTCTTTTCCTCTGCCTTGTGCCACTTGCCTTGTGCCACTTACACGGTACAATGCAACACTGGCACAGCTACATGTTATGATATATTAAAGAAAGTAGAGTTGGTAGTCTTAGCATAATGGTGCTTATGATTTCCCCTTTTGTGTTTTTAGTTTTAACAGGCTTTGAAACTAACAACAGATTTGAAATTAAGAACAGCCTTGGACAGAGGGTTTACTTTGCAGTAGAAGATACTGACTGCTGCACCCGAAATTGTTGTGGAGCATCCAGACCTTTTACTTTGAGGATTCTTGATAATTTGGGGCAAGAAGTCGTAACTATGGAGAGACCACTGAGATGCAGTGACTGTTGCTGCCCCTGCTGCCTTCAGGAGGTGGGTGTGAAGTCACCACTGCAGTGTGTAAAATAGCTGAGCAAGAGTGTCAGCCTTACTTTGAAGCTAGACATTGTGACTAGCATTCCATTCACATGTATTCCTTTGCTTTTGTAGATAGAAATCCAAGCTCCACCTGGTATCCCAATAGGCTATGTTATTCAGACCTGGCACCCATGCCTGCCTAAGTTTACAGTTCAGAATGAGAAGAGAGAGGACGTTCTGAAAATAGCTGGTCCGTGTGTGGAGTGCCGCTGTTGTGAAGATATTGATTTTGAGGTAAGAATTATCACGGTCTTGATAGAATTTGCTTTCCTGAGATGAGTGCAATTTTATCAGACCTTACAAATTTATTAAATGAGTATTGTGCACTGATATTTCAGGAGAAAGACAATGCGCTCATGTATTTCACTTTAGTCTGAATGATGGTCACCATTGATAAAAATCAGTTTTGATTATACCAACTGAAAAAAAGACAGAATTCCATTGTGAAATAAAAATAAAATATCATTTAATCATTGTTTTTTATGTTGATGCTATATATCATTCATTATTAATATAACACTAATCTTATAATCCAACTACGATTACCCTAGCCCATGGATCCTCCCTTAATCTGCATATAGGTTTTAGATGCTGTAAGCTATTCAAAAAGTCTGAATCTTGAGTTTCTACAAAAATGATGAATTCCACAAAGAAAGTTTTGTTTATTTAACCTTTGGGACATCAAACCTAAAAACAGCCGGCAAGCATTCTACCACTGAGCCACATCCCCAGCAGCCCTTAACAACAATTTTAATGAGGTTAGTGTGAAATCTCCTCTTTTCCACCCTCAGTTACCCACAGTCAACTGGTCTGAAAATACTGAATGGAAGATTCCAGGAATAAACAGTTTATAAATTCCAAATTGCATGACATTCTTAGAAGTGTGTTGACATCTCATGCCCAGTCTTGGTCCTTCCAACCAGGACATGATTTTTCCCTTTCTCCTGTGTACCCTCCTTGTGTAAGCTACTGGTCCATCTGGTCAGTCACTTAGTGGCACTCTTAGTGGTAGCAGTTTTCACATCCTCTACCCGGTATCTCAGCTATCTCGGCTCTTACATTCAAGAGACCGTCGTGTAGTAACCTGACACTGTCACAATGTGTACCTCCATTGCCTCATGTCATCTCATGACACAGGCATTGCATTATCTCACAACATCACACTATAGTAAGATACTTTGAGAATAAAAGCCACCAATTCATGTAATTTTTATTACAGCATTTTATTATTTTTTCTATTTTGTTATTAAGTATTTAATGTTACTGTGTCTGTTTTGATTAAATCTTGTCATAGATATGCAAACATGGGAAAATAGACTGTATAGGATTCAGTACTTACTATCTGCATTTTTTAGACCTCCATTGGAGGTCTTGGCACATAAGGCTTATCAGAATGGGATACTACTGAAAATAGTTCCCAGTTATGCTTCTCTGTGGCTGCTGATTTGTCCTTGGATTAAATTGCGGTATTGGAAATTACAATATTCATGCGTACTTACTACATGAAGGATTTTCACTACAAGAGTTTTCCAATAGAAGTCCTAGCTTATAACAGAAATTTTAAGTTGTAGTTGTTTAAACTTTTATCTTAAAAAATATTACCAAATTAAAAAATAAAATGTAAAGTTTTCATTACTAGTTTCAAACACTTAAATGGCAGTTACTATAGATAAAACACTAACACATACAAGAGAAGACATGTATTATCCTATTTATCACAATAGTGTCATGCAATACACAGCCACTAAGACACAGTGGCTTAAGCAAGAAACATTTGTGCAGGTCTGCTGTGCTTCAGTGGACACACCTAGGCCCACCTATGTGACTGACTTAGGCTGCGAGTCGGTCTCATGTCTCACCCAGGTGCATGTGCTGTACAGGTATAACAGCTAACGGGATGAACTTTTCTACTAGCTTTTCACTGGACAGCAAGAGCTATGCCATACGTTAGCCTGTTGAAGAACACCATTCAGGTAACACCCTTCGATCCAATAAGTCACTTGTCCAAAGCTAGTCATCCGTGTGCAAGAGGGCCCACAGGGGGACAGGAATGAAGTGAATATTGATGGATAGTCATCCTTGATATCACAACTCCATATTGGAAGTGTAATTTAGGATTTCTCATATCTCATCCATGTCTACCCAAATAAAATGAGTCAACTGAGTTTCCCCCATATATGCAGCAGGTTTTGTGAGGCAGGGTCTTCAACAGGTATTGCTAACATATGTGGTACCTTAGGAACATGTGGAAAGGACACACCTCTCCTTCTTTAACACAATACCATGTGCATATAGCTTGGTGAGTGTTGGCTACATCCAGCCCCCACCTCCCCACTTGAGCAGTGACTTTCATGTGGGTGCAATTTGTTCAACTTTGTGATGGCCCTTGATGGTCCTCAGGCAGAGCCACGGGGCAAAACCTTTAAACTCTGCACTGTTTGCTTCATACACCTTTGATTTTTATTGTTCATAGCCCACCAGTGAGCCAGGCTGACCCCAAACCTTGACCTTGGAGCATGCCATCAGTTTTCTTATTGTCTATCTGTCTATCACCTCCTCCTGACAGAGAAGTTTTATTTATTGTCTTCCTGATGGCTTCTAGAAATTTCACCAAAGAAACATCTTTTTGTGCTTAAATTTATTTTGGATCAACTCAAGTAGTTTATTTCTGTCTCAATGTAAAAGAGAAAATGATAAATACTTCAGAAAACTTGTCTTATAGTTTACCTGAACAATGAACCTGTTTTTTCATGTAATTATAAATAGATGCAGGGGTCTGCATATATATGTCTAATTCTCATTACAGGTTCGTAGTTACATAGGTCCATAATTTTAACACGGTATTTGTTTCATTGTACTCTAAATCTGAAGGTAGCTTTTCTATAAAGTTTTGAGAGATCTTTGAGACCTTATTTATTTTATTATTATTTTTTTTACCATAGATTAAATCTCTTGATGAAGAGGTTGTAGTTGGCAGGATTTCCAAGCACTGGTCTGGGTTTGTGAGAGAGACCTTCACGGATGCGGACAATTTTGGGATCCAGTTTCCATTAGACCTTGATGTGAAAATGAAAGCTGTGATGCTTGGCGCTTGTTTCCTCATTGTAAGTGAATTCTCACTAATCTTGTTGTAGGTGGTTTCTCTAGTATCTTTCTGAAGGATTCAGTAAATTGTGTATTCCATAGTGACCTTCTTAAATCACTAGGTTTTATACAAAGATTCTCAGTTAAATCCTAGCTCTGAAATTCCATCTGATCCCAACATCTGGTTATACAAGTGAGCAGTTTCTGTGTGAAGAAGTTGTGCATTTTCAAAAACAAGAAAAGGAAGGAATTTATATATTATGCAGTGGCCCTTGTTGGGGTTTTTGTTTTTTAAAATTCAAAGTAGGTGTATTGGGGAAGACACTGAATCTGACTTTAAGTAGAAGAAATCTCAGTGAAACAGGGATGGATTTGCTTTGATTTACTAAAAAATCAGTTCATCTGACAGAATTATAAACTGCAGTAGGGGTATATATGCAATTTCACCTCCACATCTAAGTACCAGCTCACAGGACACATGAAGTGAGCACAACAAGATGTTACTTTTCAAAAACCCAAGTTCCAGGCTGTACCACAGTTCAACCAAATCAGAATTCATAGTCAAATAGCTCTGTAGTGACCCATGTGGTTTTAATATGCAGCCAAGCTGAGAATTACAGGAAGACGGCAATGGTCCTGAACTTGCTGACAGTAGGAAAACCTGGGTAACTTTTCAATGTGCCCCCACTACCTTCTGTCAAATCCTGTGCAGTTGAGTCCAAGCCTTCAGTCTATGTAGAGCTCCTATGTGATTGCATTGTGTAACTGAGCTTTGTACTTAAACACTGATGTACAGTGTTGGTGGTACTAGTGGGAGGGTGAAGAAGGAGATTAAAGTGACAGTACATGGTAGATGGACCTTCATATACATATATGAAGCAGAACTAAGAAATCTCTTGCAATTGCTTTAAGTGGGGCAGGGAAAGGGAGAGATGATGGGGCAATGTAACATATAATATATGTCTAATGGGAATTGTCAGTTGAATACTCCCCTGTATAATGAACATATCTTAATAAGAAAAACATTGATTTGGGGTGCAATCACACACACAAAAAAAGAAAATATACAGCAAAAAGGACCCAGTTCCTTCAATAGATATGTGCAGAGAAAAATAAAAAGGTAAAGATAAAATAAAGCAAGAGACTTAAGAGATACCATCCTAATCAGGTTGTGGATAATGTTTGGATAACAATTCAAACAAACCTATATAAGAAGTCATTTAGGAAAAATTCAGGGAACTTTGAACATTGCCTGGCTACGTAATGATATATAGGAATTATTAGGGCAGTGTTCTGTAATCTGTAAGGCGTGATACAAAAATAAATCATTTTTATAATACTAAAAAAAGATTTCAGAGCGATAGAAAAGAAAGTGATATTTACAGAAGTTGTCAGAAGATTAATTAAATTCTTATTGGTATCAATAAATACACAGAATTATAGAATAAAAGTGCTATTAAAATGCAAAGGTGAAGGGAGAGCTTACGCAGCTGTAACCTTTCCCAGTTTTACTTATTACATTTAATTTTTCTTGAATAATAGATATGCTACTGTGTATGATAAGTTCACTTAGTTGTGTGTATTTGTTTTTGAAAACATTTCTATATTTTTGTCTTTATCTAGGACTTCAGGTTTTTTGAAAGCTGTGACTAGGAACAAAAATCAGAAGTGAGGCAGTGTATTATTGAAAGAGTTCTCAGAAAATCAGAAGTCTGCATAATAACTGAGCCTATGTAAGAAGAAAACTCAGTGGTTTTTGTTTTCTTTATTGGATTACTCATAACTATATGAGTAAAACTCTGATGCCTGGAGTATCAATTGTACAATTTTGTTTTTAAAATGATAAGTGTTCAGGGCTGGGGGTGTGGCTTAGGTGGTAGAGCATTTGATTAGTGTGTGCCAGGTCCTGGGTTCGATCCCTAGTACTGAAAAGTTAGTCAAATTATAGAGTTTATTTTCTTTATCACTGGCTTATATATGTCTTTATATATATCTCTATCTATCTATATACATCTTTATACATATTCACTGTCAATTTGAGAAAAAGGACTACACTTAGAAATAAAAACCTATAAAAACTGATTTGCATTGTAATCTCTGACTTATTCCATTTTTATGACAAAGGTAAAGCTTTATAAAAGCTAATTTTAATACAAAATTATATATTATGCTATTAAACTTAGTTGTAATTTATTTCACACAGACCTACTATTATTTTGCAAAACTATGCATTTAAAAAACATAGTCACTTGCAGTTTTCTTTACCATTATGGTTAAAAATACTACTCAGTACAGATATCAGGAAAGAATAGTAAAATGCATTTTTTTTCTCTTTAGGGAATTATGGTATATTTAAATAATCTACTACTGTAAGTATAATTTCCATGCTGACAAAACAACAAATTATCTACTTTAAATATGTTTCAGTGAAAAAGACATGGTTCTCTTGCAAGGCAAGTGTGTTTTAAAGACGCACTCTCTCTATTGATGTGGGTACATCGTTTGAAGCTATTGTTGAGACCTGAATTATTTAGCTCCATAGTCTGTCATTCACAGAGCATGGGTAGTTATGAGATTATTCAGATGTTAACCAAATGGACCAAATATGCTCCTTTGCACATTTTAAGTTTCGACGATGGTCAATCAGATTATGCATTACAATAATCAAATACCTAGAATAAATTATTGATGTTTTTTGCATATTTGGTTTTCATTTTTAAACAAAATTTGGCCAGTTCAGTTGGTGCTTTGCACCAACACTCAGTTAAATTAGGCTCATTTACTCCCTTCCCATCCAAAATTCCTTTAACAAGAGCAAAAACATAGGATGTCTTGTAGTGAAATCTGTACCATTTCTGAAAACAAGGATATCTACCTGTCAGAAATAAAAAGGAAGTAGGTAATTGGTTGTGTGTGGGAAGACTGAAGTGAGAAAGGAAATGAATGGCCCACAATTTATGTCATAAAAGGAGAAATGGGCTGAAGAAATAAGAGTCATGGGGAGACTCCCTCTAGTCTTGAGCAGATCCCCACAGCAGCCAGTACCTCTCCACAGGTGAGCACCAGCATCTATCCAATAATTCAGTGGCTTCAAACAGCAATGATGAGGGCATTGGAAGGAAGGGGGTGTGGGGAGGACTGCAGGGAGAAGCATGGCCTCCTAATACCTGAAACAATCCTCCAGACCCCACATTCCACGAATGCACTCACCTCACACTTGCACTGGGACAGACACATGCCACAAACTGGATCTAGGATGGTCTGGAACTTGAGGATGTTTCTGCAGTAGAATGATAGTAGGAAAGTTTACAAGGAAGTGTGTTAATAATGATCAATACTTTTCAAAACACAAGGAAGTGGCTCAAGCTAAATAGGATTTCTGCATGTGCCCTTGCAGTGCATATATGATTCATCCTGACCCTACAATGTGCATTGACCTTCCCCTCAGGAGAGACAAGATGTCTTCACACAATTGGTATACTGGGAGATGACTGTCATTTCACACAGAGTGGAGTCACATGTGGGCACAGAGGCATTGGCTTTCCTTCTTAGACTCATAACCTTAAAATGTAACAAGCCATGAGGAAGATAGAATAAATCTGGAGTATGAGACCAGACTAAATGTGAATCAATGACACAGGGTTTAGAGTCACAGTTCTGGATTCATAGGTATGAGTGTCTGTAGGGCAGCAGTTCACAGAGTTCACTCCCCACACACATACACCCTGCATTCTAGTTAATCTTCAATCTATTTTTAGTGTTTATACAGTTGAAGATGCCCTCTTTGTGCCAAAATATAGCTTAACATTTTACCCAAGTAGGAAGCTAACTAGATTTGGAAAACTGATGTTTAAAGTCAGCTTTGAAATAGAAATTTGAGAAGACAATGTAAATTTGTTTCTGCCTATGTATTTTCACTTTCACTCACATACTGAAGTTATTCTGTCTGTCAGGAATAGGGAACAAACAGTGGTCCATTTCTGCAATAGTAATTTGACATATTTGTTTTGGTTTACTTTTTGAGAATCAGTTGCTAAGAAACATTTCAACCTTAATTAAGCATTGCCAAGAGACCGCAGTTATGTAGAAATAATAGTTTCCCTCTTACCTGAACTTTACAGAGTAAACTGGATCTTACTCTACTGCTTACATACTCTCAGTTCATACTCCTATAACAAAAATACATTGCATTTTGTAATTTATAAATAACAGAAATTTGTTTCTCATAGGTTTGAAGGCTGAACTTGAAGATCAAAGGCACCTACAGGTTAGGTAGGCCCAGTCCCTACTATCATGATGACACCTGTGGCTATGTCATTCAATGTTAGGAAGGATAGAAGAGCAAAAGGGGCCTCTCTAACTCCCTAATGTGCTTTACAAAGGTATTAATCCCATTCATGAGTATGTAGCCCTGATGACTTAATCACCTCCTAAGTTTTCCACCTCTTCATACTATCATAATGGGTTTTAGGTATCAACATCTGAGTTTTTGGGTCATATTTATTCAAACCATAGCAAGTTGTCCCTGACCTGCCAAAATTCATATATTTCTCAAATATGAAATATATCCATTCTACCTCTGCAGTCCCAAAAGTCTTGTCAGTTTCCAGCATCAACTCTAAGTGCAAACTCTCACCTAAGTATCACCTAGAGCAGATATGGGAAGACTTAATGCAAATTTCCTTGTAGCTGTGAGCCCATGAAATCAAATGTACTTTCAAATTATAATCATGGCTTAATCATTGGTGAGGCATTCCCATTCTAAAAGAGAGAGAAAAGAGGATAAACAGTTCCCAAGTTAGTTCAGACCTTCATAAGGCAACCATTAAATCTTGAGGCTTGAGAAAATTCTATCTTCATGTCCTTCCTTCTGGATACACTGGGACAACAGATAAGGCAACCCTGTAGCTTCAGTTTTCTGGAAGCAGTCAACAACACATTTCTCATGGATTTCATTCCTGGGCTTATGGCTCTCCCCAGCTGGAGTTGCATGGTGGCATGACTCCTCTTCCATTTGTAGTCATGAGCGCAGCCCAGTTCTCAGGCACCCTCTTCCTTGTGACAGCCCCAGTGCCATAGGTCTAACTGGGTATTGCCCGAGTGAAGCTTCTCTGTAGTCTAGGTCTTCAACTCTAGGGTTCCACAGGGCACTGGCTGATTGGGGACTGGTGGCCCTGCCCCTATTTCAGTTGTCTACCTGGGCCCTGGAGCTCTCAAAGGTACCCTTTGAAATCCAGGTGAAGGTAGACATCACTCCACAGATATACACTGTATACACCTGTAGAATTAGCACCACATGAACCTAACCAGAGTTTATGGCTATGCCTTCTGGAATGGCATCCTAAGTCATAGTTGAGTCCACTGGCACCACAGGTGGGGCAGTCAGGAAGCACTGCCCAGAAATGGGAATCAGAGACTTGAGATTGTGCTAGGCAGAAAGCCTCAGTTTCCCGCAGGCTCCCCTGGCTCTCTCTTGAATGTTCATCCTTCAGGGACATGAACTCTGGGCCTGGGAGCGTAATGGCACCCTCAAGAGTCTCTGAAATTACTTCAGGGTCATTGTGCATTGTTTTAAGTAATGAGGTTAAACTTCTATTTATGAATGTATCAGACATTGTCTGGATCACAATCTTATACTGTAGTTACACACTTCTTCATTTTCTACAAACCAAGAATTTTCCAAATGTTTAGGTTCTGCCTCCATTTTGAATAAAAATTCCATCTTTAATTTGTTTCTTGTTTGCACATTGTTGCTATAAGCAATCAAGAGAAGCCATGTTGCAGCCTCAATGCTTTGCTTAGATATTTTTTCAACTAAATTTGCCAGTTCATTGCTTTATAGCTCTTCCTTCCATAAAGTAATAAGACACAGACTCAATTCAACCAGTTTCTTTGTCATTTGCAGCAAAATGTTGACCTTTCCTCCAGTTTCTAATACCTAGTTCCTCTTTTTGTCTGAGACTTTTGTCCCTCATGAGAATTGCCTTTTCCATGGTGGACACAACCTTGTAGGTAATCTCTAAAAAGAGTCAAGCTTTCCCCACAGTTATCTTTTTTCTTCACTTTCACCAGACTCACCCATATAATCTGATTTCTACCCATTGCCCAGTTCAATAGCTGCCTCCATAGTTTTTGGATATTTATTATAGTACTTCTCAGGTACTAATGTCTGTTTTCCCTTCAGCAGGGCAGCTACAATGAAATACTACAGATTAGGTCATAAATAAATGATATCAACTTTTTGTTCACAATTATGGCTAAGTTATGAGAATTCAAGACCAAGGTGCTGGCAATTTTGGTGCCTGGTGAAGTCCTGGTCTCCACTTCCAAAATGGCATTTGTGGTGTATTCTTATGTGGCAGGAGGTGAAAGGACACAGGAACACTTTCTTCACTAGACAGGCTGCATGGGGCAAAACAGGCCTGCCTAGTTCCTATTCTCAAAGGCAGAGCTCCCATGACTTAATAACCTCCTAAAGGCCTCACCTCTTAAAATGATAACATTGAGCCTTAGATTCCAAAACAAGAATTCTGTAGAGCACAGATACTTAAAGCATAGCATCTATGACACACATTTCTATCAAATAATACTCCCAGAATTCTCTCTCCATTTTTGTTATTCAGAAAAGAAAGAGGATTTACTTGCAAGATTCT